CAAAGATGGGAATAGGGTGTAAAGAGGCCTATCCCAAATGCAAAGATGGGAATAGGGCTTGAAAAGGCCAGCCTCAAATGTAAAGATAGGAATAGGTCTTGAAGAGGCCTACTCCGAATGTAAGGATGGGAATAGAGCGTAAAGAGGCCTATCCCGAATGCAAAGATGGGAATATGGCGTAAAGAGGCCTATCCAAAATGCAAAGATGGGAATAGGGCATAAAGAGGTCTATCTTGAAGGTAAGGATGGGGATCATAATTTAGGTACTGACCCTAAGAATATTATAAAAATAGTGTAAAGGATTTGTGGTGCTGAGTTCATAAATATGTGACATGTGAAGATTGACATTGGTGAGGAAAAATCATGAGACTTTATATAGAGTATGGAACTCCAGAGGATGTGAAGAAGTTGGTGCAGACAAGAATAATCGTGTTGCGCAAACAAAGAGTAAGAGACATAGAACTCGAGAGAAACAAACTCAAGCAAATTTATTTTTCTTTTATATATATATATACATATATTGAAAAGATTCAATTTTCATTGGTTTGTTTTATCTTTCAAAAAAAATATTTTATTCAAATTTCATTATCATTAAGTTTTTATTGTTTTGTTCTTTGTTCGTTGTAGTTTTGAACCAACGTATGGTTTGGCGGCTCTTGACTCATCGCACAAAGGGCAATTCAAGAAACAAATTGCACTCTGAAATAAATTTCTTTGATCTGCTCAAAATAGGTGTTACAGATTGAATACATGCTGGAAGCATCAAAAGTACATCTGAAACATCTCATGCTGAATACATCTAGAACATCACATGCTGAATATATATCATATACGCTGCTCTGACGTAGTGTAAAAGGTGACAAAAAGAACTGTTTGTCTATCCTCTGTGGGACGAGTCCTTGATCAAGCTGACCTACTAAGCAACGATGCAGGACAAGAATTCTCTTTGCGTGTACTTAGAGGTGCAACCCTCTCATAGCTCGTACAGGCGTAGCTCCTCTAGCTCCGATCTGATCCGAATTTGTATGACATCTTGTGTTGTCCATCATTTTGAAAGTCACAGACACTCTGCAGTGTCATACCCCTGGGATGCAGTGCTTGGCGAGGTCTACTCCATTTTATTTGAGAATTGGTACTTAACCTATCGGCAGTGGAATCTTAACAGATCCCCTGAACTCCTCGGGGCCAATAACATCAATTTATTTTCCAAATAGTATATTGCTCTAGCTCATGAAGGAGACCGTGCAGAAAGAACTCACAAAATCATGATGGTCTATATGCGGGGGAATGCAATCTCCCTCGTAGTAGATATTGATGATACAACTGTTTGGAATGCAATCAGCCGACAGTATGCTCCATCTAACCATTCTCTTGATCATCCATTTTATCTTGGAGGGCATTCGATCCACCTCATCATTTCTAAAGATCCCTAGGGGATTCTCTTGTCTATCCTTAGTGACATTATAGCAGCATCCGCATTGGATGGTTATCCTGCCTTTTCCTCTCATCCATCTTCGTGGCTCAGAATAAGTTATTTCCATCAGTAGGCTAGCCCGACCCTTGTCTCTTAAATCAAATATGCAGTCTAGGATTCTCCTTTCATCACTTTTAGAGAAGACTCCCGTGTATAGCTCTATGCCTTCCAAAATATTGATGATATTTCCTCGAATTTCTTTGTATAATTTGAATTCTCTCCTCTTAAATTTATTTATTCTTTCCAATTCCACTATAGGGATCCTTTAAGATCGGCAAGGCGGATCTACCATCTCCACATATGTAGTATACCACGTCTGACTTGGCTCCACGAGTAAGGGAATGTACAATTCGGTATCCGGGTAAACCGTCTCCTGGCGTCCCGTGTCGACAGCTATGAATTCTTCAAATGAAACATAGTGGTCTAAGTGTAGAACATTGCATGTCAGACACTCCATGAATGCCCCTCCTGTCGATAACTGAATAGGAACTTCGACGTCGCACATTGGTCAACCATTGTAAAACTCCTCCGGTACTTCAAATTGTATTTGCTCCGTAGGGAATTCAGACTCATTCTCCATAGCGGACAGACTGGCGAAAGTTTTCCTCATGCCAGGGTCGTAGATTTTCCCCTCAGAAATCGGGGTAAGTAAATTTTCCGCCCTTTCCAGGCGTCTTCTTTCTTCGCATAGAAAAGCTCTGTGTCTGCGACGATTGGCATTTCGATGTTGAGTTCTTTTCAATGGTGGATCTGGCAGTCTCTCATTGTCAGTACTGACTAGGTTGCGGTTGGTTTGGATGACCCAAGGGACTGGCCGGCCGGGTTGCGACATTTTTTATGACGACGCCTTCGGTGTTGCTGGCTCCGTTGGCTCATCGAGGAGGTTTACTTTTTAAACTATACATGAAACTCCCGAGTTTTTTACTTTTTGGTGGTGAAGTTGCGATAAGAATTAAAAACTTATTAGTCTCTAAAGCATTATTCCGTAAAGCCTTAAAAATTTTTAACAATCTTCTTGTTGCTCTTTAGTGAATCAAGTCTTTTCGAGAAGTAATCATTTGCTAGTGTTTAGGTTCTTGAAGAATATAATTCATCTTAGATTTTGAATTAAAAAATACCCAATTAAGCTTGCTCCGTACTCATATTTCTTACTATTGTTGGAACACACCTTCGGTGGGCCTCACCATACTCAGGTCTTAAGCAATATTGTTGCGGCCTTCGCGGGGGTAATCACACAAACTTGCTAGTGGGAAGATACACACCTTACTCTTTACGGACCTTGTCACTTCAGGGTAGGGAACCACCTCCATAGTTTTTTCCAACTTGATTTTTGAGAATGAGTTTTTGAAGATTTCTTGAGGGAGAGCTGAAGCTTTGTTTGCTCATCAAATAGGCAAGGCTCAAGTAAAGAGACAGATACTTGGAATGCTCATCCGGGGGGAGGCTTAAATGATAGAAATAGTTCTTGCTTGCTCATCTCAGTGGAGAGGTTTAAATGATAGAAATAAATCTTGCTTGCTCGTCCCAGAGGAGAGGCTTAGAAGAAGTTCGGGGAGGCTTAAAGAGAGTTCGTTTGTTCACACCGTAGGGGAGGCTTGAAAAGAGTTCATATGTTCACCCTACCCGTAGGAGAGGATTGAAGAGAAAGAATATTTTTATTTTTTATTTGGAATGCTTTCTTCGGAGCAAAGGCTTAAGTGAGAAGAGAGAGATACATGTTTTTTAAATATTTTTTTTCTTTATTGTTTGTCTTCATTTTATTTCCATTTTTCTTTTTGATTCATTTACTTTTCTCTTTCTTCCTTAATGAAAAAAAGAAAAAAAAAGAAGTAAAGAGAGGAGATGCTTATCTCTTTTGTACGCGACCTTTTCCCTTGGAATGTGAGAGGAAATTTTCTTCATTTATTTTGTCTTTTTCTCTTACTTTATGTCGTATCATTTTTTACATTTTGCTATTTTCTTTTTTGACTTGTCGCATCCACTTTTATGTTTCCATCTTCTTCTTTTTCTTTTTCTTGTTTTTTTTTACTTCTCTTTTTTTTGTCTGGATCGTTTTGTAACCCGACAAACCTTCATTTTGTTGGCAACACGCTCTACGCTTATCACATCTTTTAGAATATTGAATCTAAAATTATTTTTTGGATCCTACCTAGGGAATAGAGCTGGATTCCAGGGGTAGAGAAAGGTATGGAGAGAAAGTAAGGGAGAGTGTTGCTCCATCCGGGGGGGGGGGGGGGGGGGGGGGGGGGGGTGGG